ACAGGAAGGAAATACGAAATTCCGTTGACGTATTTTCGTTCCGTTACGAACATTCGTTATATTAAAGTTAAAAAGCAAAGTACATTTATATTGGAGTTGATGGTAGTTTTTTTTAAAGTCCGAAAATTCGGAAAATTCCGGAATTCGGAATACGGAATCCGTTAACGGAATTCGTATTTCGGATAAAAAAACAACTACCACATCGACTCCAATATTAACAAAGGTATTTTGCTTTTTAACTTCATCATAACGAATGTTCGTAAAGTTACGAAAATATAACCGCCACTAACGAAAATTCGTATTTCGTACGAATCCGAATCCGAATTGAGTTCAGTTACGAATTACGAAATACGAAATAACGGATATTCCGAAACGAAACAGAACGAATTTTTTGACGGCGCACAAGTCTAGCGCGCAGTGTGCAGCTTCTGAGAAGCAAAGCGGGAGCGATGCAAAATGCGCAGTCGCCTTCCCCTCTACGCTAATAGCGTATCTTCTCAGAAGCTGCACACTGCGCGCGCCAGTTTCAGTAGTAACCAGCACACGCTGTATGCAACTTCTAACAGCGTGGGAGACGGGAGGCTGCGTTTGTTGGTGGATCCAGGAATCAGGTGAGTATTAGAAAAAAAAAGTTTTATTTTATGTTCTATTCTTAGTTCTATAATGGCATTGTAGTACTTTCAGGTGGAATACAGCTTCATAACATATCAGCTAGGGAACTACAATTCCCAGCATGCCCTCATTGCCCCTGTACAACAACCAGATATTGCCGTTCCCTGGGTGATATGTGTGTGTGTGGGATGTGTACAGGGACAATGATGGCATGCTTGGACTTGTAGTTCCTTAGCTGATATATATGTGTGGGGTACAGTTCCAGTGGATGTTTATAAAAAAAAATTGTCTGCCCCGGGCGCCAATAACTCTGGTTACGCCACTGGTGGGAGCCCTTTTACCTGCAATACTTCCCTCAAATCCAAATCTCCTTTCACAATTGATAAGTAGCTCTGGATAATCTGTTGTATCTCTTCGTATTCTAGACTATATCTAGTTGGCAATGTAACGGGTTGAGACTTCCTTCGATTCTTAGATCCCCGACCATCTTTAATATAATCCTTCAAACGTTTCTCTCTAGGTATCTGTGCTGGACGACCAGAATCAGGATGACTGGATCTGGATCTTTCCAGGGCCCGCTCCCGGAAGCGTATGTCTATTTGGATGCTCAAAGCGATCGAGTCATCAAGCGTGAAAGGAATAATGAATCCGGCGAGTTCATCCTTTACTCGCTCAGATAGTCCTGGCCAGAAGGTAGCGGTAAGAGCCTCATTATTCCATGAAAGGTCAGCAGCCAGAGTACGGAACTGAACTGCGTATTGGACTACAGTCATTCCCTGCCGACAAAGAACCTGTGTGCCAGAAAAGTGAGCCCACCTGGGATATAGAAGAATCACATGACACATACATGAGAGGAACATGTGCCAAATGCCTTAGATGGGCCTCTTTGGAGGGCAGTTTTAGCACAGCTTTGAACATAAAGATATATGACGACATCAGAGCAGAAATATCAAACACAAGTGCCAAAATCACCTGAATGGGGCCGTGGATGCTGTTGATGGTGGTGTTGCCACATGAGGCCTTCGCTATGGACATGTTGTGACGACATGGTCATCAGTTTATGGGTTGTATGTGCTGTATTCTTCCTTGCTCAGGAGATATTGCAACCCACTGATCTTTTAGCTCCCAGTTTCAGCAGTCACTAGTCGGGACCGAGTGTAGGGTGAAACAAACTCTCCTTTATTGAGCAACTATACAACCTTGTATACAGAAAGTGATCAGATTATAATCCCATCACATCCACCCTGCCCTCCCTAGACAT